GGGGAGATATGGGGGGGAGGGCTATAACTTTAATTTAGGGTGGAGAGGGAGATCATTACAAAAGAACATGGAGGAAGGATAGATAACAGGATGCTTGAAAATGTCATAGGGAATCATGGTTTATATTTAGTTAAAATTACATATAATATATAAGTGTATGCACGTTTGTTGATATATGTGCATAAAGTGTGTATGTATGTGTTTGTGTGTGTGTGTGTGTGTACTTTCAACGAAGTTGTACCACTTAAAGAGATAATACACCACCACTGCCAAAAGCCATAGACTATCTAACAAAACCCCAGCCCCAGGCATGAGAAACCTCCTTTTGAGCTGGTTAAGAGTCTCTAAGAGATTCCCAAAGCAATAGAGACTATTTCTGTTTACCTTAGTTGCCTCCTAGAAGTTGAGTCTAAGTCACTGTTGCTGCTGATGCACCCTTTGGACACAGGGCTCAGAGGACTGGAGCTGGAACTGACCTTAAAGCCTCACACACTAGATTTCATAGTATGGGAAGGTGCTATGCAGGCTGTCAAGGGAGGAAAGCAGCCAATATGTGTGTGCTCCCTAATTCATTGTCCCATACCAAGTGGTCAGCCCTGAAATCATTCATATGTAGGTTCATATATATGGATAATATGTATATATCACCAAACAAATTCATCAAGTTGCATTTATGTGTTTGTGTGCCTACATATGACAATAATAGTTAAAGAAAAAGAGACCATGAATTTGAGAGGAAATAGGGAGGATGTGAGAGAAGTTAGAGGTAGGAGATGGAGAAGGAAAATTATGTAATTGTATTTTATTTTTTAATTTGAAAAAAAAAAGCTGGTGCTGGTGGTTCATACCTTTAACCCCAGCATTTAGGGGGCAGAGGCAGACGGATCTTTATGAGTTCAAGGCCAGCCTGGTCTAAATAGTGAGATTCATACATAGACTTGTCTCAAAACACAAAAAATTAAAACAAACTGCAAAAATACAAATAATTTGGATGAAGAGGAAGAGAGAGAAGAGAGAGAGAGAGTGATGCTTCCAGTCTTCCCAAGCCAACAACAATTGAGAAGAAGCCTACACAATAACTAGAGGGGTGCTGGGGTACCCTGAGCATGTGGAGTCACTGCGGGGGGTCCCGGGGAAGCCTCTGACGGCATGTCATTGCAGCCACTAGCTGGAGGAGGGTAGGTACCACAGAGGGAACCACACTGATGGTGAATGTCCTCTGGCAGAAGAGGAAGAAAAGAACCAAACTGAGGAAAGTACTGTAGACTGAAGCAAAGGGGCTTAGGAAGCAGGTGCCAGAACCTGCACAACCACAGGGGAATCGGGAAAGATTTGGCATCTTAAGAACCATAACAGCTGAAGGGACTCACATGAGCTGATGGCAAGCTATCATTTTCTAAGCTCAAACGAAGCTTAGATGTGAGACGAAAGGTCGAAGATATGTTCAAGTGGAGAGTCAAGCCCAGACCTACGGAGGCAGAGCTCTGGGATTCCGCTAGACGAAGCAACAACAAAAGAGAAGGGAGGAAGCTTGAGACACTGGTAACAAGTGGGCTGCAGTGAACTATCGGGGGTGGAGGGGCTACGTGGGCAGGGACGGACAGGCTGAGGGTGGAGAAAAGGCCGAAGTGTCAAGGAACAGAGATTCCAGCAATACCCTGGACTGTCCTCATGTGTGTAGACAGAGCAAGACAGAAAGATAGCATATTAAGGTTTACAAGCCCTTTGCAGGAGGGCCATTTCAGAGTTTAATAACATTCAGAGTGTAGCATGGCAGACGTGACTGTAAAACAGAAAATAGCAAAACAAAAGGGAAGTGAAAGGGCAGGATCCAGGTCACCTCAGGTCAGCTAAGGGACTAAGGAGAGAAGTCCAACCACATGCCCACATGCAGATTCCCTGACAAACAGATTGTAGCCCCTAAGAAAGAGTCTTACATCATCACAGCCACCCACCTCTTCTGCCATCTCCAGCCCACACATTTGACTTGGTGAATAAAAGCAACCCTCTATTACAGCCCACAGAGGACCCAAAGTGTTCCGCATCAACTGTTTAGCTTGTCTTCCTGGGACAACAGGATGCATCACAAGCATGGAGAGCTACTGGTGAAAAACCCGGTTTTTCACTCCTTGACCTCAGGCTTTGTGGCTGTGTGCCACCAAATCCGGGCTGCTACTCTTCCTGCCAAATCCACAGGGCTGCTTCGTTTGTCTCCCCTAAAAGATCAGAGACTGGTTGTTATGCTCCTTCACCATACCTAGTACAAAACAGATACCAAATAAAACAAACATGCATATTTCAAACATTGTCAGGGGAAAAAAAGAAAGAGAACTACTTGGAAGAGGAAGAGGCCCAGTAGGAGAGGGGAGGCATGGACAAGAAAGGGTAACAAAAGAGAGGTGAATGTGTTCAAAGTATATGATGTTCGTGTATGAAAAGCGCCACAGTGAAACTCATTTGTTTATGCAATTAATATATGCTAACAAAAAAAGCAATAATTAAGAGGATTATAAGAGTTTTCACCCCAAAGATATGTTTGAAAAAACTATGCTACCAATTAAAACTGTAGAGATCAGGCTTACTCCATATTGCAGGAGACAGTACTTCAGACTGTGCCTTGCCCTGCTTAACTCCATTTTACAAAGCAGTATCTGAGTCCATTTTGAGTGCAGAGGAAGATGGAGGATGACTCCGCACTCTGTTGTTCCTGTTGACACCACTACCTGTCCAGTACTAACCAAGAAACACAAATGACAACTTTTCCCGAAGAGTTCAAAGACGCCACCTATAAACTTAGCAAGGTAGCCTGGAACACATGAGCACATGGATGTACTAAAACCACATCAGGAGGCTGAAGACATGGCTCCATGGCAAAGAACACTGTCTGCTCCTCCAGGGCACCTGAATTCAGTTCCCATCATCCGCATAATGTGCAGACATATCCTGAATTCAGTTCCCATCATCCGCATAATGTGCAGACATATATGCAGGTAAACAGTTCACATAAAATAAAAGTAAATCTCTTTTTTAAAAAACACATCAGAAAAACAGGCCCAAGAACTTCTCCAACACATGAAGACCAACAAAGTGTAATACCCTCACCTGAACACCAAAAGGAGGAGGATCCATAAGAGTGCAATGACAATGACCCCACAGACATGTCATCTGAACACCCACGATGTCCCTCAAGAGATCCACCAGCAGAGAACTCCCACCTGTCTCCTAGACTTCAAGCTCAGCCTAGTCCCTACTGCTTGATGAGGCCAACTAAATTGCCCCCTCCATCGATCCATCCTGTCTTCCACCAGGACCCAGTCCCACACCTGGCCTCTACTGCCTTGCAAAAGATTCTCTGATTTACAACAGCCTCTGCCTCTGGAGCTTTTGCAGCCATTCTGAAACCTACATATAGAGAGATATAATTGCCAGGTGATGTGTAAGGAATGATCTGAGAGTTCGTAGTTGTAGTTGGATTGGAATAAAAGACACTATGTTTTTCCCTAGCCAGCTTCAAAGGGAAAGCAAGACTAATTGGCCATGTGCAACCAATCAATCCGAAGTAGCTTATGAATTGTTTTTCAATAAATACTAGCACTCTGAAGAAACACAAATATGTCTTGTTTCTGGCATAGCACACTTAGGACAAAACCTTACATGATACAAATAACAATAAATCTTAAAATTAGGAGCTAGAGAGATGGCTCCATGGTTAAGAATACTTTCTGTTCTTCCAAAGAACACGAGTATGGTTCCTAACATCCATGCTGTACAACCACCTGTAATGCCAATTTGAGGAGATACGAAGCCCTTCTGGCTTCCTCAGGCATACCTATACTTGCCTTAGACTCACACATATACATACATACAAATCAAAATTAAATTAAATACATAAATTAAAAGTAAATATATTTGAAATCCTTATACAATACACATACGTAACAAAATGCCACCTCATAAAACCTATAAACAGGTATAATTATTATCTGTCAATTTAAAATAAAGATATTTTTAAAAGAATAAATCAGTATAACATAAAAAAATTTTGACTGGCAAAACTAATTTATGGTATTAATTTACTATGGTATGGTATAATGGGGCAAAAAATGTGGCTCCGTAGCAGGCCACTTGTCTGGCATTTGGGAGGCCCTGGCATCAATCCCCAGCATGGGCAAAAAAAAAAAAAAAAAAAAAAATTCTTTTTAAAAAGCACAATGGTTGTGTTCACTTCTGTAGATAGGAATTTCTTGGTCAAGCACAATGTGTACAGTAAAAATTCATTGATCTGTTTTATCATAATGCACTTACTTTCCTGTATGTATGTTAATTCAAAATTCCTCACAGATGGATAAACTAAACAATCAAATTATAAATTCCTGATTAGCTTAAATTTGAACAGACTCTCCGTTGTAAGATGTAAACAGAAAGCTAAGACAAGGATCATAAAATACATTCCATCAAGTCAAGAGAGTGTGCATGTCTGCCATCTGTGGGGTCTCCGCCAGGACCACGTCAGCTATGCCACACCATCTAGAAGCAGCCATCACAGACCCACTAAAAGAATGGATATGGGGCTGGAGAGGTGGCTCGGTGGTTAAAAGCACTGGCTGCTCTTCCTAGAGGACCCAGGTTCAATTCCCAGCACCCACATGGCAGCTCACAGCTGTTTGTAATTCCAGTTCCAGGGGCTCTGACACCCTCACAGAGACATATGCAGAGAAAACACCAATGCACATAAAAATAAATAACTTATTTTTTTAAAAAATGGATATGACTGTGCTCTTACATAATGTGCCTGTCAACTCTGAACTTTAAATGCTGTAATTATCAATGTGTCCTGAAATCATTTTTTTTTTCAGTTATTGAAAGTTATAGAACCATCCCTTGCTTCCCATCTGTACAAAAACAGGCTGTTGGCAGGATCTGGCTGGCAGGAAGTGGTTTCTTGACCTTTACCCTAGGGTTATGCGCATATAACCACTTCCCCTCTTCAGTCCTCTCACCTTTGTAAGAAGGCAGATACTGTATCTTGTCACCGTGTGGAAACTTACTGTCCCGAGGTTTGACGGGGCCAACTTGACTGCCACGGATGTAGTTGAAGTCTTGTTTATACGTTGAGAGTAAATCCATAGGCTCTTCGCTTGGAATGTACGGTTCACGCTCGTGGAATTTCATTGGCGCTATTTTGTGAAGTCCAAAATCTCTCCTGGGAAAAGACTAAGCACATGTCATTGGGGCCCTTTTTCAGAAAAAGACAGCGTCGTCCACTCATCTCACAATGCCTACTCTACCTGCCTACCTGCTCTTTTCCTCTCATCTATTTTGGGGCATGACACCATAATTCACTTTTGCCCAGGTTTGACCCCTTGGGTGTCAGCCTCCCCTCAAAGCCACAGAGGTCTATCATTTACCAGGAGCAGCCCCTCTACCTCATTGCTTTTTCTTTGCCCTTTGGCCCAGACCCCAACCATTTTTTTACTTGGCTCATGTGACAACCTTCCCCCTGATCTTCCTAGTCCTGTTTCAGTTGCCTTGGTGTATCCAGAGTAAATAAAGATCGGATCAGCTGGCCCACCCGCTTTAAATGTCTTCCAGATAAAACCCAGCTCTCTAGTGCGATATACTAGTTCTCCCAGATCAGTCCCCTGACTTACTCCCCATCCCTGCCCACACAGTACATCAACCATAAGGCTCATTGAGAAGGAAACCTCTTCTGCAGCAGATCCCCTGCCTGCCTTCCATCCAACCCCTTGTGTAAGGCTAACATCTGTTTTTCAGATACAGTCACCTTTCCCTCTGTGTTCTGAGCTTCTACTAACATTTCTCTCCTCTACTCAGCCTTACAGAAAACCCAGACGAGAAAAAAAAAAATGCAATAGAGACACAAAGTCTTCATTTCTTTGCTCTCTGCTGCTGTCAGTGCCCCTGTTATGTCAAAGAGTAAGAAAGCAGTAGAATGGAGAAGACAGAATGCTTTTCACCAAAGCAAAATTTCCTTCCCGAATCATCCTGCAGTCATGACAAGCCCAGGTGGCACCTGCCCATCACCCGGGCAACACCCAGTTGTCCTTCCCACTGTAACAGTTTCCACTGCCCATATCTCCATGCTACCAGAGCCTCAAAAAAAATTAAATTAAATTAAAACTAAAACACTGTTTTTTCCTGAATCGCATTTGGCCCAAGGGGACAAGGGAAAAGCAGATTTTTTTTTTTTTTTTAACCTAAAGGTGCTTGCTTGAACAGCCCTGTCAATGGAAGGGAAAGGTTTCCGGACAGGAAAACATTAGGCTAAACACTAATAAAACCTACTTCCAGGCTGAAACCTGGGGCAGCATTACGGAGCCATGCTTGAGTAGCAAGGGCAACACACTCCACTATAACTTCTGTCTTGCATGAATTATACACAAGGTTGTCGATAAACCCAAAGCAGGTCCTGAGCGTGGAAGCATGAGAATTAGTCTCCTCGGGGCTGCAAGTGGGAAATGGGAGATGCTTCCGTTGCACTCCCATATCACCCTCTAGGTACATCTTGAAATATATCTTAGTAGCAAGAACAGCAACTGCAGCCTTAGCTGCCTTCCCAGTGGCCTCACTGTGGGCTAACAGCAAAGAGAAGCCAAGTGACCCCAGCATCTGGAAGTTGATTATATAAATGGGAATTTTGGAGGAAACAAGCTGACAAAAAGCTAAATAAGAAGCCAAGGGTCAGCTCCACACTTTTACCCTTCTTAGATCAAGGACCCTCATATATAATGATTGCTTAATACTCAACCAATGGCAGCAAGGCACTAGGAGACACTAAGCCTCTATGGGCTGAACAGACTAATGAAAATGCATGAAACCCCATCTAAAAACCAGTTAACCTGAGAGTTAACTTCCTGCTGAAAGTTCACCTTCTGAAGAGAACATACCTAAGGGAAGTTGAAGTTTCTCTAATTCCATGACTAAAGTAGGATTTCTGAGGCCATCTTTACTATGTTCAAGTCATGGCTACCCAGACTGTGGTTCACTATACTTCTGAGAAATAGCAGCAGATAACTGAGGAGCAAAGCCAGATGTCCAAAAGCTTGTATGCTGAGGCCTTCTGCTCCAGAGCCCTATGACTATCTTGAAAAGCCTACCACTTCTCTGAGGTGCCATCTTCCAAGAGTCTCCAGACACTAATAGCTGAAGCAGGCTTAATGCCCCCCCCATCTACTGTTCACTCACAGAAAACTGCTAAGGAATGCTCAAACTCACCAGCTCAAGGGCTGTCCTCAAGCTGTTCCTCAAGACAAAAGCAGACATAAAACTTCTTCCTCACCACGTTTTGGGGAATAGATTATTAAATTTCCTTGCATAAAGAGTTCAAATCTTATTATAAATGTGCACCTATATTTGAATTCACTGACCAGCTACAGAGAAGGTGAATGATTAAGAGGAAGAGAACCCCTTCACCTTCAAGAGAGAGGACTCATTTGTATCTGGCCCAAAAATAGCCACCATGGATTGAGAGTGAGTTTTATCAGAATTTATGTGTTTCCTCATTAGATTTTTATTCCCTGAAACCTGTCATTAACCACAGCATAGTTGCATGTCCCCAATTACACATAAACTTACATCCTTCAAGTTCATGCAAAAGAAAAAATACTTATTTTATTCTTCCCAGAAATTGCTTAAGTTTAACAACATTTTTTTCAACATTCAGTGGCTTCTCCCTGTGGTACATTGTCCCGGTGCTTAGCTTCCCTGTGACTGTGAATAAAAAGAAAAAAGGTCAAAGACCCAAGTTCCCTTTAGGTCGGTAGCTATAAAAGCTGCCCAGCATGGAGAGCCAAGAGTTAAACTAGACTCAAGTCTGGGTTAAAACGGCCCTGCAGAGGAAGTTATAGAAACTTCATTTCAAATCATCTGGCTAAGGCTGAAGAAAGGTGCTGGGCAAGAAGAGGGGAAAAAGGAAAGAGGAAATTACATAATTGCTAACAAAAAAAACATTTGCCTGAAAGTGGGGAATGGAGAAGTTTTACAGGAGCCAAGCAACGCTTACTTTTTTTTTTTTTAGCAGTTTAATATTTATGCAAATTTCAGAATTAATTATAGTAGCCAAGGAATCAACCCCGTTGAAATGGAATCTATCCTAGGAGGAGCCCCTTCTGTTTGCAAAGCAGATCCCTGTCACCCTTCCCCTAAATTGCCCTCTTGAAAACTTCATTCACAGACCATCCCCTCGCCTATGGCTTCAGTCTCCTTTCTGCCAATATTTAAGCTTGCCCCAGTCTTTCCCATAATTAAGACAAAAAAAAATATCTTACAATTTTTTAAAACAAAATACTTCACAGTATATTAAAGCCCATGCCTTTAATCCCAGCACTTGGAAGACAGAGGCAGATCTCTGTAAGTTTGAGGCCAGCCTGGTCTACAGAGAAAGTTCTAGGACAGCCAAGACTACACATAGAAGTCTGTATTGAAAACCAAAAAAATATATATGTTATATTTATATATATATTATATGTTTATATATTTATATAACATATTATAATTTATATTATTTATTTATATATTTATTTTTAATATAAACACACATGCACACACACTCAAGAGACTCTTCTCTCCTGGGCCTCGCCTCATGCCCTCTCTCCTCCAGAAAGAATAAACATAACTTCCGTTCCTCCCACATATTCCCCAACCACCAAATTTGGCTCTATTCCACATAGTAGCCAAGGCATCCTACAGCCAATCTCTGTTTCTCATCCTTAGCCCACTGCATAAATAAATTAACCACGGTGACTATCCTCAGGTTTGTGTTTTGTCATCTTAGCCATCTCCTCTTGAAGGGGTGGGGAGGTACTCTTTGCCTTTAATTCATCATTTCCATATGTAATAATTTAAACTTCCCCAGGTCAAAAGACACCTTCAAAGGTATCATCCTAGGCAGGTTGCAGAGCCTTTTCCAGAACACTAAGAAAGATCCCTCAACAGAAATACAAAGCTTGATCCCAATGGGACATCATCCATGAAGCCAGTAGATGTTCGTACAACCACCCAGGATTCAGATGACACAATACTATCTCCTCCTCTAATCTCAACTCCTCAATTCCTGCTGAGGCAGAAGCCAACATCTGTCACCATTCCATGTAGCCTAGAAGAAACCATGTTTAAGTACTCAAAAGGACTACAGTCAGCCCAGTCAACAGGTTCTGGAGCAGAGCCAGCAGGTGGAAGAAGAAATGGCTCTGGCTGTATTTGCTCCTTCAGTTTCCATAAACTACTTGTGAGTTGCAGCTTCTAGCCGAAAGCAGTCACCAGCCTGTGCCAGATGAGGCAGGTAAAACCAGCCTGTGCCAGATTCTTTTTGGTCAAAAAAAAAGAAGAAGAAGAAAAAGAAAAACACAGAAAAAAAGCAAACATGCGGCAGTCTTGGAAAGGCAGGGACTAAAGCCAACATTCTGTATGTCGCTGGGCCTGGATCCCTGCTTGCCTCACATGCCAAAAGCAGGCTTCTGAACTAAAAATAACTGAGTTAAAATGGAATTTGGGCTGCCACCCAAGACATGAAATTTGCACTTTGAGCCTAGTCAAATTACCTGTCTAATAAACAAACAAACAAAAACATTTTTCAGAGGAATGAATAAAAGGAAAGCAATCAAAACGAAGCATTCACAATACAGTCCAGAACCAACACAAACCTACTTGACACACTGAAGGAAAATGTGACCCATGTACCTCAAGCAGACCAGATGTTGGACATAGCAAAGATCTCAAAGCAGTTTTAACTATGCTTAATGGGAAAAGGCAAAATAAGGTCATAACAAACTAAGAGCTAGAAAATGACACAAGAGAAATAAAAGCTATTATCCAAAGAACCAAATGGAAATTCAAAAAGCTAAAGCCAGGCCTGGTAGTACACCCCTTATCCCCAAATTCCAGCACTTGGAATAAGAATGGGAATCTGGTCATAAGTTTAGGCCAGCCTGGGATACCGAATGAGACCTCCTCTAGATAGATAGATAGATAGATAGATAGATAGATAGATAGATAGATAGATAGATAGATAGATAGATAGA